AGCTCATTCCTTGTGGTATAGCAGAAACCAGAGGCCTCGAATCAGACCGATAACTCATAGCAATGAACACTTACAAGTAAAGATGTATAGACTAAAGGGTTTACTGTATGACCCACTGGGCCACACTACAGCTTCCATGACAAGATTGTTCTTTTTTGTTTTTGTTCTTTGTTTTGTTTAGTTTTTGGTTTTCTTTTATATTTGGTTTTGTTTTGGGGGGAGGTTGCAAGGGCAGAGGGCAGATGCCAGGGGACAGGGAGATAAGTGGGATCAGAATGCATGATATGAAACCAACAAAGAATTAATACAAGTAAAAAAAATATCAACTACTATCTTATTTTTCACACATTCATTCAACTGTGTGTGCAAGGCAAGTGCTCCTCCACCTCTGAGCTACATGCTCAGACCATCACATAATACTTCTTTGACTTTGAGATAGGATCTCACTGTGTAGCTCTGGATAGCCTACAGGCTATGTGAACTCACAGAGATCCTTGTTTGTTCAGAGAGAACTTTACAATGTCATGAGAAATACTTGATGGATAGAGGCCATCATGAATCTCCAGGAGGAACTGAGGAACTGAAGTGAATTTGAGAGATCAGTTATACTACTAGTCTGAACAGTTGTTAAGCAAGGCTAGAAGCACTGATGACAAGACTCCAACTTTGGGTTCTCTGGCTCCCTAGCTCTATGATTTCTGTCGCACATCATTTACAACATGCACACATCATGATGGCAGCAATGAGAAAACACCTTGAAAAGACTCTCTCCGGGTGCCTGGCACATACAGGCTTTCCATCGAACCCTTTGTTTTCTTTCAGGATGAACTCTACAGTATCACACTGGTGGGTAGGTATCCTCTGAGACCAGAAGAAACAAGGCCTGTTAACTCACTAGGCATCTGACTCATCCTGAAGTTTGGGAAGCTCCAGATAGAACACAGAGAAAAGTCAGTACTCTGGAGGAATTATAGTGTTCAGCTGCTGGGCAGAGGCCAAGGGACATTGGGTATCCAGGGAAAGGTAGGATGGTAGATAATGGAGAGGAGAGATCCCAGTGGGAGGTCTTTGAAAAGGACAATACTTGACTCCCCATTGTTTTCTTTGTTCTCCCGTGGTGCTGCTCACTGCTTCTGGGAAGGATCCTGAATAAATCTTATTTCTTTTGGGTGAAAAAATGTGCATCACCATACATAGATAATTAGAGAAAGTTAAGTAAACAAAACTCTGGCATGTAGGCAACTGAGAGAGGAAGTTGGGCTGACACTGTCTCTAGGGCATGACCACCCTGGAAAGGAGGATTCAAGTCCTCTGCCAAAGTGTGGAGTTTGGTAAGATTTGGAAGGTACTGCTAACACCAAAGGCTTCTGCTGGAAGTGATGGGAGATTGGAGGAGATGGCAGAGTGAACAGGAATATAAAACTCTTTGAGTTTAAAGCAGAAAGAAGAAGGGAGAAGTCCAACTTCGGGATAATGGAGAGAGGGTTTTTAAGACAAAGAGGAGCTATGTGAAAAGACTATGCAGTGCAGGCTGAGTGTCAGTGTGTTTGGGTGGTGGGGAGAGGCACTGGGACAGGCACACAGAGTTATCATTGGCAGCAAGGCTGCATTCAGATGAGATACGCAGTTCACTTTCACCTTCAATGAAATGTAAAATTTGATAAATCAAGGAGGAAGTTACTGACGCTAAAAGGAATCACAAGAGTGGCAAGAGATCTTGGATGGAGACATTGATGATCTTCACAAGAAAAAAAACTTCATAATAGGTTGAGTGAGATAAAAACTTTAAAGAAAAATGATCAAATGTTTGTTCTTGGAAAAGACCTGTAATACATGTAACCTTCTGCGAGTATTGATTAACAGGAAAAGTAGTAACTTCAGAAGATCATAGAAAGTATGATGAGGTGAGGTTGTCAGGGCTGGAGAGAGAAAGAGTGGGCAGGGCATAAGCACACCATGCCCTCAGCAAAAAGGTGGGTTTCTGTCGGGCACCCAGGAGAGGAAGGTCTTGGGTCAAAGATGAATGGGGCAGTTGGAATTCTGGATCTTTGAGATTCTCCTCAGATCTACAGTTAGTGATGCTGAGCCTTGACTTTGTGGCACCCAGGGAAGATACAGCAGCTAGAGTATCCTGAATTGTATCCTGGACTGCTTTTATCTGTTCTCACCTGTCCTTTGACTGAAGTTGTCTCACCCCTGTGGCTACATACACAGCAAGGTTCCTATGATCCATCATGTGGGGCTTATCATGACCTTCAGGCTCTGCTATTATACAGCTTTTTCCCTTTGTGGTTTGTTTGTTTCAAAGCTTCGTAATTTGCACCAAGATTTCACACCTTTGGTTTTGCAGATAATTCCTTAAGACTCTGCTCAAGGTGGCTGTAGGCACCTGGGTGTCAGGTCAATTAGTGTTTAACTGTCCAGGGACGACACAGAAATGGCAAGCGTATGTCATACAGTTAGGACAGAGGACCAGGTGAATGTTTTTCTAGTGCTTAGACCACAGAGAAAATGCTGTCTGTGGCACATGGGATTCAAAGAAGAGATGCCGACTGGTCTGATCTATACAGTTACTCAGGGAGGGACCAGACACCCAGAAGAGAAACTAAAGAGGGGATCATTGAGACATTGTCCAAGGATAAAAATATGTCAGATTAGCCTGGAAGCCCATTACTGACTAGCGGTCACAGGATTTTGTGACTAGTCAGCCTGGTCTCAGAGCTTGTCAAATAGGAGCTCTTCATTTGAAGATTCCTGGAAATTTAAGGAATTAATTCCTAGGTTATATTTGTCTACTATTAAGTGAACATAAGCCATGCCATTGATGTGGTAACCTACTAGGCTGAGTCTTTCGTGATGTATTATTTAGATAAGGGGTTTGAAGAAAGAGGTTAAATTGGTCTTAATGTAGTATTGTCCATATTTGGGATATTGTATCTAGCTCCGGGTTAATGTGGAATACAATTGAGTATAATAGGATAAATAGTGAAAGTGCCAGTTTAACTACCATGAAGATTCTTATCACACCCACTTCCAAACCATCCTTTCATCTCTGGAAGAATTTTTACATAGCAGCAGCACCAAATAACAGTTCTAAACTTCTAAACCTTGTTATCAGAAATGAGCTGTAAGTAGATGGACAAGTACCCTTTCCACTAAAGTGACAATGAAAACAATTAAACACCCCCCCCCGCCCCCCGCAAAGAAACCACAGCAAATTACAGATGATTAGAACCTTGCTGTGTCTATCCCTGGGGAAGAGATCTTCCTGTGGCAGATCAAGGGATGATAGGAGAAAGCTTTCAGGCAATGCATGCTTTTTAAAAGAATTTGGTCTCTGAGTTACACTTACCAATTTGAGTATGTTATTTAGAGTAATTTATAGAATTAAGCCACGCAAATAGTCTTTTCAAAGTTAATTCTACTTTACTGAGCACCTGAGTACCAAGCACCCTGCTAAACACCAAACATCTTTCAATATAGGGACATCTGTGGTGGCAGCTCACTGAAGGGCAAGGAGGAAATCTTCAGGAATGCTTGTTTTGCTGATGGAATTTTGATTATTATTTTGTCTTGAATTCAGTCATACTCACTTAAGTATGCTAGTTAGAGTAACCTGGACATACTGGATTAATCAGGATAAGCAATGTTGTTTTTTACTTTCTGTACTTTAGGGGACATCTATTGTTCAAACCAGCGTAGTAAGCATTTTGCCCAGCTTTTCATTTAAGTTCAAAATACCTCTTTGATTCGGGGATGGTTATTTCTCTCCTACCATTGTGGATGGGGAGGTTTACAGGATTTGATCAAGGTAAAATGGCTAGCAAGTGACAAACTAGGGTTTTCATTCTATGCAATATGATTTTAGAGACACTGCTGTTAGCCACTGTTTTTCTGTCTCTAAATGATATCACTCTAGTAACACATTTTGCATGAGACAACAGAGGGGATTTTGTGTTGTGCTTCTAGAAGATCCATCAGCATTCCCAGGTCTGAGTGATATCACCAAATCAAAGGGGGCTTTGTGTGATGTGTTCTCAGAGTATTGTGGGTCTGGACACACATACAAGTATCATATAAAACCACAGAAAATGAGCAAATTAAAGGGAAGGGAAGTAAAGGCTTCCAGCACAGGAATGTGATGGTAGTGTTGATCTTTTGTTTGGGGACACCTGGGTAAGTCTTTACATACCCTCAATACCTGAATGAGGAAGATGCAGGGTAAAGGCAAACACTGCCAAGTTTGGAGCTCAGCTCCTAGACTTGCAGAGTAGTAAAACTGTGAAGGTAAATCTATAGTACTTTATTGGGTGAGTATCCATAGCTGTTTTCTTGACTTTAATGTTATGTTAAATATACTGCTAGGAGTCAGTGCTTGGAAGACCTAGATAGGAACCTCAAAATGACTATATGTTGTTACATGATATTGGATGAAGTATCTTCTCATTTAAGGACTTAATTGTTTTATATGGCTATTTGTTGTATGTTATCAATGGAGAAATTCACTCATCATAAATACTGTTTCTCATCTTAGTATGACCATACACTTCGTTTAAAACATGCTTTACTTTCATAAGGATAAAGTTTCCTTGGTCTCTGGAGTGTCTTGGTAGTTTATCATGAAAAAGGGAAAACCATATTGAAGAAGCAGAAAAGTTATGAGAAGGTTCATCTTTATGTGCGTCTGAAGGGTTAATGTGTAATTATTTAGTGTAGTAATTGAAACTACAAGGAAATTGAGTCCCAAAGTTAGCAGATTAGAAATATTTTAAAAACATTCCCTTATATGGAAAGTGATTATGTCATTTTCTCTTGTCCTTATTTCCTGAACCCATATTTTCTACATAATGCATTTCTGACTGACAAGAACGTCTTTTCATTGTTTCTTTAGGTGCTATTCCAAGCAGACATAATATGATGTTTGATCTCAGTAAGTGTGTTTAATTTAGCAATCATGAGGAAAAAAGGCAAATTCTTCTGATTATTCATTATGCTGAAGTAGCTGACTATAAAGAATATATAAAATGTATCTCCTAACTTTGTTCCATAGGCTAGGATTACACAAAGTTACAAATAAATGATACATGCTTGACTGTGTATCATAAACCATAGGTAGACTATTGGAATCATCAATTTGAAATCATTAAGGGTCAACATGAATGATTTCATGAATGCTTGAAGTAAAAATAAACATGCAATGTCTGCATGGAATAGGGACAGAGAGAGAAAGAGAGATAGAGAGGCAGAGAGAGACAGAGACAGGGACAGACAGAGATGGAGAGAGACAAAGAGAGACAGAGACACACACACAGACAGAGAAACAGAGAGAGAAAAAACATTGCTGAAGGAAAAAGCTGAAGAGTTGATCCTTGAGATGTGAATATAAATTGACAAAGTACAGAATCTTTATAGGTTACTTTTTATTATGTTAATTATTTTAGGTCATGAAAATATCACCAAGAAGAAAATACCCCAACAATTTGTGATGATCACACACAAGAATCAATTTTATAAGAATATTACCTCTCTTACAGTACCTTATAAGTTAACAGGAAAGCAGTCTGACCAGTGATGCTGGGGACATCCTACAACCACACAACGGAATCCCCTGCCACCTTCTTCCTTGTGGGCATTCCAGGTTTGCACTCTTCCTATCTTGGGCTGGCCATCTCATTTAGTGCCATGTACAGCATAGCCCTCTTAGGAAACAGCCTCATCATTACTGTCATCTGCATGGATTCCACTCTACAAGAGCCCATGTACTTCTTTCTCTGTGTTCTGGCTGCTGTGGACATTGTCATGGCTTCTTCTGTGGTGCCTAAGATGGTGAGCATCTTCAGCTCAGGAGACAGCTCCATCAGCTTTAATGCCTGTTTCACTCAGATGTACTTTGTCCATGCAGCCACAGCTGTGGAGACAGGGCTGCTCCTGGCCATGGCTTTTGATCGCTATGTGGCCATCTGCAAGCCCCTACATTATATGAGAATTCTCACCCCTCATGTGATGCTGGGGATTAGTGTGACTATCACCACTAGAGCTGTTATTTTTATGACTCCATTGAGTTGGATGTTGAGTCATTTGCCTTTCTGTGGCTCCAATGTAGTTCCACATTCCTACTGTGAACACATGGCTGTGGCTAAGTTAACATGTGCTGACCCCATGCCCACCAGTCTCTACAGTTTGATTTTTTCCTCCATCATTGTGGGCTCAGATGTGGCCTTCATTTCTGCCTCTTATATTTTGATTCTCAGGGCAGTATTTGGTTTGTCTTCAAAGAATGCACAGCGGAAGGCGTTGAGTACATGCGGCTCTCATGTAGGGGTCATGGCCCTGTACTATTTCCCTGGGATGGCATCCATCTATGTAGCCTGGCTAGGGCAGGACAAAGTTCCTCTGCACACCCAAGTGTTGTTAGCTGACTTGTACCTCATCATCCCACCCACCCTTAACCCTATCATTTACGGTATTAGGACCAAGCAGATCCGGGAGCGGATATGGAATCTGCTGATGCCTTGCTTCTTTCCCCAGTCCACTCAAGGTTCATGAACACAAGCTTCTCCTACCTGGAGTTCCAGTCAACTGCCAAGATAACTTTGAGATCTATGGACACGGACTGGTTTACAGGTGTAGAGTGTTTTTGCATAGCACTTCAACTTCTCACTAGAGTTTGACAGAAGGATTGTATTTCCTGGTGTATTTATTTAGAACGCTATCTGATTGAACTTTGGGCAGAGAATGTGTTTGTTATTTTGTTTCTTTTTTTAAAAAATCTCTATTCCCATCTCACATCAGTCCCTCTGTTGATGAAAGTTACTCCTTGTCACCTTTTCCTTACTAAAATTTTCTTGTTCCTCTCCTTGTATGATGTTGTGGTAGAAACTAGATCTTGTTCTCTGACTCACCAATGAATACATTTTATTTGATACCTGTGTTTATTCCTGGAGCACAAACCTCTTCTACCTAAAACAGATTTTAGTTTATATTATGTAAACTTAAGGTCAATGGTGTTGGCCCCTTTCTAATGAATGAATTGGAAAAAGAAACCTGAACCACAGTGAAAGAAACCAAGTCAGAACATGAGTTGAAAAGAATAATACTCTGGGTCCAACCCCCTTCAGATAGCCACACAATTTCATAGGGCAGAGACACATATATTTGATTCTTAATGAAACTGTAAATCTTAGTAAGACTAATTCTCTGATACTAAAATTCAAAGTGCTAGGAAAAACTGCAACAGTAAGTTGGTTAATTGTTCCAATGATTAGAATGAACTGTCTTTCAGCTCTTCTGATTAGCCTTAGTTTTAAGTCTATCAAAAATCATCAGTATAGTACTGATATAAAGACAGAAAAATAATAGAATAGGGAGCTCAGACCTAAACTCAGGCATATTTCGTTAATAGATCTGACATTGGTCATGGTGTTACGAACACTGGACAGTCAAATGAAGAACTATTAGATGAGACTCTTACCTTACACTATATGCAAAGGTTAATTGAAAGAAATGTAAAGAACTAGTTGGAAGACTGAAAAAATCATGAAACTAGCGAAAACATTTAACATTTGCAAAGATTTCTTGGATATGATGTCCAAAATCGTAGGCAGCAAAAGTGAAAAATAGATGTAACCATAAGGAACAGAAATTATTTTGTGTAACGAAAGACAAAATAGAACGCAAAGACACCATACAGGATGGAAGGAGACATATTTGAATTGTATATTTAGTAAGAATTATTTACCTAGTAAATGATAAAATCTTGTAATTCACCACCACCAACAAAAATGAGATACTCAAACTGGAACAGACATTTCTGTAAAGGGTATGTACAAATTACCAGCTAACATATGTGAAGATGCTCTTTGTTACTAATCATTACAGAGATTAAAAATAAAACTACAGTGAGATAATACATTTGTCTTATAGGTATGATCATGAAAACTCAAACCAACCCTCCCCCCCCAAAAAAAAAAAGTAAAAACCAACTTTGGGTAAAAATATGGATAAACTGGAACCCCTTTGCACTGTTAGTGGAGATTGTGATAATAAAACTGTGGCAATAGTATGGGTAATCTATGAAATATGAAAAACAGGGCTAATCTGATACAGCAACCACTTCAGGTACATCCACAAACAAGGGAAAACAGGCTCTCCAAGTCGTAGTTATTGTCACTCAACATTTCATGGCACCACATGGATGTGCAAACTGAATGAAACCAGTGAAATGTGTTTTGGTGTAGAATCTGCAACTTCATTCTTGGTTTTAGAAGCTTTGTGCACTTCTCTGTATCTCAAGTTCTTTCAGAGGACTATGAAATCAAATGTGGAAATCTTAGGAAAACACCATTAGAGCAGTGGATCTCAACCTGTGGGTTGTGACCTCTTTAGGGGGTTGAATGACACTTTCACAGGGGTCACCAAAGGCCATTGGAAATATGAGCTATTTAGATTATGATTCTGTGGGAGCCCGTTCTCGGGTTCCTCATGGCTTTACCCAGCAGGTCCGCATAGAGGATGATTAGGACCACGGGCCTGAGTGCAGGTGTCTGAGATGGTCTGCACTTGGCTGTGCAGGGGGAGGAGGTCTTTTGCTCCACCCCTTGGCGTCTCTATAAAAACCCTGGGGCAGAGACAGTCAGGGCCCGTTGGAATAGGTTCCAGGCCCTCTTGAGGCTATCCTTTATTTTCTATCTGTTTATCTCCGCGATATTCTCCATAATAAATCCTTCTATCTAATATTTCCTGCTGCTCGCACTCAAGAAAACTCTGGGGAACTGTGGGGGTGGTTGGGTAAATGCCCCACATGATTCATAACAGTAGCAAAATTATAATTATGAAGTAGCAACAAAAATAATTTTATGGTTGGGGGGTCATCACAACATGAGGAACTGTATTAAAGGGTTGCAGTATTAGGAAGGGTGAGAGCCACTGCCTTAGAGGTTCTGAAACACTGAAGAATTAAGAAAGCAATCAGGGCTGGTATAATGGCTCAGTGGGTAAAGGCACTTGCTGCCATGCTTGACAACCTGTGTTCGATTCCTGGGAGCAACATGATGGAAGAAGAGGACTGACTCCTGTGAGTTGTTATCTGACCTTCACACATACACTGTGGCATGGGCATGCCCACGTATATGTACACAATAAATAAATAGATAAGTAAATAAATAAACAAATGAAAGAAATGTACTAAGGAAAGAAATGAAACTTGGACCATTTGATTTTCTTTCTAGATGTACGCTGTACCATCAGTCTAATGTTCTGGTATCTTCTGGGGACTAGAAGACAACAAACACTATACACTCTCCAGGCTCCTGACTCCCCTCACAGTCTGGAATGCCCAAGGGACTGTGCATAGAAGAGAGTCAGTCTCCGGAGGAGTCACAGTGTTTGGCTGCTGGGCAGAGGCCAAGAGCAGTGGTGTCCTGGGAAGAGACAGATGACAGAGTATCTCATGGGAAAGAAAGTCTCCCAGTGGGAGGTGTTTGGAAAGGACAGCACTCATAGTAACTCCATTGTCTTTGATCTCCTGTGGCGCCTGTATGTTACTGCTTCTCTCGAATGTCTTATATGAATCTAAATATCATTTGGTGTGAGAAATGTGGAATAGTAGGCATACTTAACCAGAGAATGAATGTTATAAGAGGAAATCTATTATGCCGATAACTGAATTAGGAAACAGAGTTTGGACTTAAGAAGTCTTGAGGTTAGGGTCACCTCAGAAACAAGGATTCAAGTTCTCTATCCAAGTAAACAAGTATAATGTGGCTGGTCAGGTCTGGAGGCATTATGGACACCTACAGCTTCCTCTGGAAGTGATGTGAAGGATGGCAGATATGGGAGAAGGGGTAGGTATATAGGGTTACTCTGTTCAAAGCAGAGAAATGAAAAGGTAAGTGCAACACTGGAATGGTAAATACATATTTTTAGGGACCCAGACTTGCTTTGAGAAAAACACATGCCATGGGGCAGGGTGAGGCTGTGTCTGGGTGTTGACGGAGGCACTTAGGCAGGGATTCGAGGCTAGCAAAGGCAGCAAGTGAGGCACGCAGTACTGCTTTCATCTGGACAGCATGTTAACTCGGAATCCCTCCATCCTTTTATTTGGAATAACATATCATCTCACATCCTATGATTTACTTATAGATGTTACATGATTTGGGCTGAAAGAACCAGTGTAAAGCTGGAAAGGTGTCTTGGGAGATTTGAGCCTCGGCTTTCTGAAAGAATTCACCCCAACAGAAGCAGTGTATCTCCATGTGTTGACAGCATAACCTCTACACCTTAGATCTCTGTATCTTATAGCGTGTGTTTTCAGTGGCCCAACGAGCTAATGAAAAAAAAAAAGCATACAGGAAATGATGCTTAAAAAGTTATTGGATTCACAACAGATCTTTAATGGAGGTCACTATTGATGCTCTCAAGAAAAAAGTTTAAATATTTTAAAGAAGAGACAATAAATTAAAACAAATGTTCTTTATTTTGAACAGACTACACACACCACACACACACACACACACACACACACACACACACACACACACCCTCTAACAACACCAATCAAGAAGGAAAGCAAATAAAATGAAGTAAAAACAGTTTTAAAGAAATGAAGACTACCACTAACTCCAAACCACTGTGAGCATCTGGGGACAGGAAGGTAGAGAAGGGCATAAAGTGAGGACACCCTCAGATGAAAGGTGAGTTTATATAGAGCAGTTTCTGGGTCAGAGGTGAATGGGTGCAGGCATTCTGGATCCTTCAGTTTTCTTCAAGTCTCTAGGCACCAAAGCTCAGCTCCAAATCTGAAGCACCCTAAATGGAGACTGTGGTGGTAGGGATACCCAGGCTTGCTTTTCACTCTTCTCAATTTTGCTTTGAAACTCTTCTTTGTGCTGATATCATCTGCCCCATGATGTTAGACATATACTATGATTATATACACCACGGATTTTATTTGACAGTGACAAGGAACCTGTTATTCAGTTCAGTCAGACATAGTATATAACATCTTTATCATTCTTAAGGCTTTCCTCTGATGGTTTGTTTCAAAAAGACCCTATGGGCCCATCAAGTCCCAGAAACCTGGTTCTTTAGAAAACTCTTGAAGATTCTGCACCAGTGTGAAGTCAGTGACTCTCCAGGAGTCAAGTGGGCACCATGTGGTGAGGATGGAGAGTCAGGTAAATGCTTGTCTTATGTTTGAGTAACATAGAAAATGTCTTTTTTATCTAGCACATGGGACTCTAACAGACTTCCACCATTCTGATCTATCCATTCATTCAGGAGAGAGAATTGAGAGGTAAGTAGAGTCAGGATAAGAATGAGACAAGTTTTTAGGCTGCAAACCCTTTATTAATAGGGGGTTACAGGACTTGGTAGGTAATCAAACTAAGTAGTCTTGAGAATTGGCAAATAAGCACTTTTCATTGAAGGCTGCATGGAAACGTAAGAAACTCTTCTTGGGCTATGCCTGAATATTGTTAAGTCAACACCTGTTTTAGTGAAATGGCCACCCCAGGCTAAGGCCTCAGAAGATACAATGTTAAGGCTCTGTGGGCATAAGGAAAGAGAGTGGGGGGACTTAATGTGGTCTACTCCATAGTTAAGAGTCTTGAGTTAATTTCTTAGGTCAAACTACCTGTGCATGTCCCTCGAGAGAGGAATGATCTGGGAGCAGCCAGAAAATGTGTTGAGGCAGGAATGTAGCCTACATAAAGCATGCTTGCCACATCCATTCCTATCTCTAATCCAAGTCACTTTAGTATCAGTATTTTGTATGACATCAGAGCCATATACACACTCTTAGGCTTTATAATTAGCGGTAGAGTTGTACATAGTGTAAGAAAGATTTTTTTTTATAGAACTGATAATAACAGAAAAATATTAAATGAACAGACAAAAGTCTTAGTTTTGAAACTACTTTATAAAAGAACAGAGAGTGAGCTCCTTATTGCATTTTAAAATTACCTTGGCATTTATACCAGCTCTAAGGGAAAACCTCAGCGGCTGATCACGGTAGGACAATTGCAATCCTTGAGAGAATGGGTGTTGTGTTGGTGGATTTAGTCACCCCCCTCCCAGGACAGGGTTTCTCCGTGTAACTCTGGATGTCTTGAAACTCTCTCTGTAGACCAGGCTAGCTTCAAACTCAGAGATCCACTTGCCTCTGGCTCCCGATTGCTGAGATTAAAGGCATGTGCCACTATCACCAAGTGGATTTAGTTATTTTTAATTTTAGTCTCTGTTGTATGTACTCACTTATGTATGTTCTTAGAGAGATCTGGAGTTAAAAGGTTAAGCAGAGAAACTCAGGCTTGTTTTAAAATTTGCTGATTTTTGTTTTTAAAACGAAGTATGTTTGTCTTCCATTTAAATTCTAAAACACCAGTGATCAAATTAAAGCATGGAAAGGTTATATGATCGGACCAAGGCAAAAACAGGTAGTAAGTGATACAATGATGTTTTTAGTTGTGGGGGTTTGACTCAAGTAGCAATATAATTAGTTCCTTTGCTTTCCTGCTTCATGGTGATGTAGGGTCAACACCACATCTGCAGCAGGGCAAAAGAAGTACATAGAGCTTTGTTTTATATTCTAAGAAAAACTCTGTGTTTTCCCCTGAAGATCAACCAACATCTGACAGTGATACCACTTGAACAAGAATCACCCACTAGAAAATACAAGGAAGACCTAGGTAGAGCATTAGGACTACCAGGTCCTATCTTTTCTAGGTCATCCCAAGAGATTCCATGAGAAACAGAAAGGATTCTAACTTCACCTCTTTCTGCAGTGTGAGAGGAGAGAGGGCACAGACTTCCTAAAGGAGGACAAGCAACAGGTTATTCTGAACAATGAGTAGACTCTGTTAACACAGAGAACCTTCACAAGCATGGGAAACAGAGCAAGATAGCTTCATTTATGTTTTCTGATTTGTAAAACACGGCCCTGACACTTTGATTTGTCTACACCACAGACAGGAACACATCCGATGGCATTCCACCCTCTTCTCTCACCACTCTACACTGTAATAGAAAACCCATCTCACCTATGATGTCAAGACCATCCTACAACTACACAGTGGAAGCCCCTGCCACCTTCTTCCTTGTGGGCATTCCAGGTTTGCAGTCTTCCTATCTTGGGCTGGCCATCTCATTGAGTACCATGTACAGCATAGCCCTCTTAGGAAACAGCCTCATCATTACTGTCATCTGCATGGATTCCACTCTACAAGAGCCCATGTACTTCTTTCTCTGTGTTCTGGCTGCTGTGGACATTGTCATGGCTTCTTCTGTGGTACCTAAGATGGTGAGCATCTTCAGCTCAGGAGACAGCTCCATCAGCTTTAATGCCTGTTTCACTCAGATGTACTTTGTCCATGCAGCCACAGCTGTGGAGACAGGGCTGCTCCTGGCCATGGCTTTTGATCGCTATGTGGCCATCTGCAAGCCCCTACACTACAGAAGAATCCTCAGACCTAAATTGATGCTGGGGTTATGTGTGACTATCATCAGCAGAGCTGTCATTTCCATGACTCCACTGAGCTGGATGTTGAGTCATTTGCCTTTCTGTGGCTCCAATGTAGTTCCACATTCCTACTGTGAACACATGGCTGTGGCCAAGTTAGTATGTGCAGACCCCACGCCCACCAGTTTGTACAGCTTGATTTGTTCCTCTATCATTGTGGGATCTGATACGGCCTTCATTGCTGCCTCCTATACTTTGATTCTTAGGGCAGTATTTAGCCTGTCCTCAAAGAACGCACAGCGGAAGGCATTAAGCACATGTGGCTCTCATGTGGGAGTGATGTGTCTTTTCTATCTCCCCGGGATGGCATCCATATATATAACCTGGTTGTGGCAGGATGTAGTTCCCCTGCACACCCAAGTGTTGTTAGCTGACTTGTACCTCATCATCCCACCCACCCTAAACCCTGTCATTTATGGTATTAGGACCAAGCAGATCCGGGAGCGAATGCAGATGTTGATGATGTGTGGCTTTAGAAAAGGTTTGTGAACATAGAACTTTTTACATTTAGTTCCCTAGACAAGTGCACATGTTTTAAAGATGTATGGAGCAAGACTGTTTCACTTGTCAGTGCAGAGTCCAAGATGAAGTTGTAAAGACCATGCTTGCATAAAATTTCAATTTTTGGTGAGAAAATTGTTATGGATATGGGATGACTGCAATAGTCTGATATGTTCAATAATTCCATTTAACTTGTATGTGCAATAGCTTACAAACCTGGAAACATGGAGGCGGTACAATTGGTCCCTTCCATAGACAGAGCCAACAATTCTCCCACATCCCAATTTTGTCACTCGTGGGCTACTTTTGTACAACTCTCCATGACGTAACAGCCACTCTACAGCAATAGTTCTGTGTACAATCTTAATTCCCGTTCATTATTCCTTTCATCTGACTAGGTTGGCTTTTGTTTAGTGGGATTCTCTCCCCACATTTCTTTCCCCTACACCTTCAAAGAGAATGTTATACAGTTACAAGAACCATGTAGACTCCCCTGATGGCATCAGAAGATGCTAATTTAACACCAGCTAGCTGCTGGATGGGCTTTCCTTCCTTCCTGTTGACTTTATTTCTTCTTCCCTGCTAATATCTTGTTTTTGATTTTGGGGTCACAGACCTCACTCTAACCCAGAGACAAACACATGTAACCAGATATACGATATACCTCTGTGGCCACATGTCAGTGTGCCCTTGTGACACCTTGTGACATGGCCATTTTTTTGTTTAAAGGGCTCTAGACTGCTGGGAGGGGCCCTAAGGAACAAAGGTGCTGATATGAAGGTTCCGGCTGCCTGGGGCAAAGGGGGATGGTTGCCACATGCAGAATCTATTGTTTGCCCTCCCCTCTCTACAGAGAACACAAGTATGGGATGGATTTTGTGACTTTACAATGAACTGGTGAGGTAGGATATGCTATTTTAAACCAGATTAGAGTCACCTTTCCAAAGAGGACACCCAAATCCTCTCAAACACATGGTTCAGACCCGAATGTAAAGAATCACTCGGACTTGTGATCTGTGAGGTGTTTGTTGACTTTGTTTCATTTGAATATGAAAATCATTTACAACCTTTAAAATCTCACCTCTCAAATCTCTGTAGGAAACAATTTAAGGCTGTTTCAGTTTCCTCATCCAAAGTAAAACTAAACACCGAGGCCCCCAACTTTTCTGATCCTGACCCTTAGAGAAAAGACAGGCCCAGGACACAGATCTGCCTGCCCTCAAGTTCAGGGAGGTGCTAAAGTGGGGATACTGTGTGCTTCTCTAGTTTGGGGCTTAGGGTTGGTTTGGTAGCAGCAAGCCTCATGTGAAACACCCTTTCACCAGGACTAGCAGCTCTGGACATGCACATTATTACTTTGTCTCATTAGAAAACCTCATTTAAACTCTTCTCTGGAGTCTGCAATCATTTCATCATTGGCACACAGTTAGGGAGAAAGTGAGGAGGGTTGTGATCTCCAGAATGGACAAAGTCCACCATCCTTGTCATGTTTCCATCATGGGTCACGACGCTTATCTGACCGGGACCGCTTTTCTGTGAGAGGTACCGACAGTTTGGTCTAACAGCAAGATACCATGAGGTCAGGCAGAGGGGCCCTTAGGTTCTAAGCTGGTTTCAGGGGTATGCTTATCAATGGAAGCATCCTCCAGTAGCCCTGTGTCCCAGGCCAAATTCCAACATTAGGCTAGGATGGTGGCTCTCCTAGTCTTCCCTAACCAGGGAACAAATGGTGAGGGGGGTGGTGTTGGTGGTAATACTGTAGCACGGACTAAAATAGGGCAGGAGGCGGCCGGGGAAGGGACAATGGGGGAAAGTAAAAATGTGAGAGCCGCCATCAGTCACATTGTAGAAGGAGATCTCATGGGCCTCATAATCCAGGAAGATTCCTACCCGGTGCGGAGGGACTGACAAGGGCAAGAGGGGGTACTCATTGGTGCCTGCCCGGTACTCTGTTCCCTTCCTCAGCCTTATCACCCAGAAGCCATAGTCAGGGGACAGGTAGACCACCTCCTTCCGGTCTACATTTTCCATACACACTCCCAGGCCCCACTCAGACCTATCTCCAACCTCTACCTCCCAATAGTGCCGGCCCGAGGAGATGCACTGGCTGCCCAAGACAATGTTATAGCGGTAAAATCTCTCAGGATTGTCAGGCAGGTTCTGCTCGGTGTCTCCATAGTGCACACTTTTTCTGTCCTTGGACACGACAAGGCGGGAGTAAGCTGTGTCTGGATCGAGGCGCACATCGACTAGGAAAAAAAGATCCTGGTGGTAACATTGATGCCAAACAAGGGGGGAGTGTGGGAAGAGTGTAGGTACTCTGATGAAGACAGAGCTCTCAGCGATGGGTGGGGCGGGCTAGATGAGACATGCAGACAACACTGAGCCATTTTATCTCTATGGGTGGAGTCCCTCCCACTGCCCATCCCAATCCCCAAGCATCGAATACCTGCATATGTCTTCAAGATCTCTCTTAGTCCCAGCACACGACAGTCTGTCTTCAGCTCCAAGGAGATTGGTTCTGGCTGCTCCAGGCTCCAAGATTTGTTCCTGCAGAAGAGGGTGTGTTTTGGACCCAGGAGTCTTAGCTCTGTCCCCGAAGCCTCCTTACCTTAGTTCAGGGAAGAGTGGCTTGGCCAGAGCCAGTCAGTCAGAGTCCCCTGCTCAGCAGGGCAGAAGTGGGATGCTGGCTTGTTGAGCTGTAGACTGTTTGTGACAGAGAGTTAATGCTCACAACTTCCTGTTGTGGGGAAGGTTAAGGGTTAGGATAGAGGAAGAGGAGGAGATGGGCTGCCAGGAGAATGGCTGATGCCCTGTGCCGAAAGCCTCATGTGCCATCTTCTTGGACTAGTTACATGAAATAACATACTTCAGTTTTTCTTAAATTCTTATTGGTAATACCTGAAATGAATTTGATTAAGGGCAAAAAAGGAGAGGTCAACAAATCTTCTTTAGCCAATATAATGTAAGATGGGAGTCAGTGTCCGCTTTCTATCGGTACTCAGTCTGTACTCCATCTAATGTTGGCTCTGGCCAGGCCTCTCTGTCCCCTGTAGAGTGTCACGGAGGCTCTGAGGATGGGAACATACCTATTTAAGGCTTCCTGAACACCCTAGAAGGAGAAAAAAATACAGCACATGAGTGTGCTGTGCCTCAGAGAGACTAGACAGACAGACACAAAAGCCAAGAGGGGCTTTCTGAAAGGGAGACATGGACTTTGAGGCTGTGGAGAAGCTTATGGGAGGGCAACAGAGCAGACGTGGCCTGGCTGAATGAACAGCTTTGGGGTCCATCTTGAGAGGGCCAGGATGGAAGGGACTGGAATGCTGTCAAGCTATCAGAATAAGTACCTGGTGTCCCTCTACTCCTTGCTGGGTGGATGCTCTGTCCTATGAGATATGAAGGGTCAGGTCATCTACCCTGTGATGAGGAAGGGGACAGCAGGCATCAGCTGAAGGCTACAGGAGCCTCAGCTGGTGGGCAGTATGATGACAGGCTCCATGAAGACCCAGTGAACACTTTGCCCTGGGGTCCCCAACTATCTTCAGTTCTCATTCAGGTGTGCCAGGAAAGGATGCTACTCACCTGCAGCATCCAGCGCACAGGTCTCTGGGATCTCTCTTCCAGCTCCACAATCATCCTGCACAGGGCCTGGCTCTGCTGGATGATCTTGCCGTGCCTCAACTCCAGTTTGTTGGCTGTCTCTCTCTGCTCCTGCTCTAGGCTAGCCTGAGCTGCAGCCGCCTCCTCTTCCACCTGCTGACACGGCAGCTCCTTTTCCTTCAATAATTGCCGATATTTTTCAAACTCCCCTAGGATGTTCTGCTTCCGTGCTTCCATCTGTGTCTGTGGAGTCAAGATTGGAATTAGCACTGATCCTTTCAGTGTAAGGGTCATGTGGGATGGAGGACACTGACATGTGGGAACACACACTGTGGAAATGCTTTGGTATGACCATTTACTGGGTGCTATGGAGGCAAAGACAAAGGATCTAGTCTTCCTATCTTCCTGACTCCCCACAGCCTCAGGGCATAGTTTCTGGTCCTTTTTACAGGTAGAGTATTTTCTTACATATAATGAGTAGGAACAGAGTATTTCAGACTTGGAATTTTCCCAGACTTGAGATTATATGTATATAAAGAGATTTTGGCAGTGAGATCCAAGTCTGAACATGAATTTCACTTATGCTTCCCATATATCTTGTACATATAACCTGAAGGTAATTTTATAAAATAATTTTACTGTGCTTGCATTCTGAGTGTGACCTATCATTAGGTGGAACTTTCTTCTGTTTTTGGTACCATGTTGGTTATAAGACATTTTTGGATTTTGGAGCATTTTGGATTTCACATTTCTGGATGAGTGACATTTAATCTGTTCTACTCGATCAGCCCCAGTAGGATCTAGGGTACTACCTTTCTTTTTGCTTGAGACAGGGTTCCAGTTTATAGCCCCACTGGACTCTTATTCACTATGTAGACCAAGTAGGACTTAAAGTTGTAGCAATTCTCTGCCTTTGCCTCTCAAGGGCTGGTTTATAGGCATGCACCACCATCCTGGTAGTTTTTCTTCTTGTTGATGTTTTTAAGCTTATTGTACCATTTTAGGCCACTTTGATGTTACTGTCTCCTGATCAAAAGTTCTGAGAGTTTCACGCCTCTTGGCTTCAGATATACTTTTCAGAGGTGGTTTTCTAATATTTAGGTAACCGAAGTCTTAGCAGCTATGCTGTTGCTAGGCAAAGTGAAACAGAAACTGTGCTGGACTGCCACTCTATAAGCCACACTCCCACCAGCTCAGGTGCGCAGCACTGTTCCTTCCTCATACATGAAGATGTGAGATAAGAGGCGACTGCTACCTCACAACCTATAAGCTGGACCTGAAAAGTTATGTGGCCTTAAGTAAAGGGAAAGCTGAAGGCTCTGCCTCACAGATATGAGGCAGCCTTCACTGTCAGCTCTGGAAGAGAAGGACAACGTGAGCCCCTTTCTCAAGTGCAACCTGCCTTCCAGTTGGCAGCTCGCTCCTTCTCGCTGACTTCCAGCTTCCAGGCTTCTTCCTGTTCTTTCCTCAGAAGTTCCAGAGCTTCTTGGAGTTTCCACTGCAAGACACAGGAAGCTCATGAGTGTGATCAATGTTCCTCAGGCAACAGGTTGGTATAAATGCTAAGAGAAAACTGAATGCCACAGAGGGCACAGACTGCCCACGTGGCACCCAGGGAAGCTCTTTGGGTTGAGAATCATTTTAACTCCCATATTTCACAAATGTCTGTAAAGGTCTATAGCTAGACTTCCTAGGACACGAAGACTTTGGACTTTCCTACCCATGACTAATTTTATTCTCATTAATTTTCTTCCCTATTACTTCCCAGAACCTTGCTGCTGAAAGTGTGCTCCAAAGCCAGGAGCATCAGCATGGCAGAATCTTGAGTCTTACCCTATACTTATCAAATGAGAACTGGAATTTAGGAAGCTCCTTGGGTAGTTCAGTTACTCAATAAAGGTTAGACACTTTCCTAGGAAAGTGATGCAAAAGATTCTTACAGGAAAGCTAGAAGTATTTAGCTATTTCCTTTTATTCCGATAAGAGTAACCTTTTTGTTAAAGAATTATAAAGTACCAGACACGGTTCAAGCACTGCACATGCACTAACACTGCTGCGGTTTGAATGGGAAATGTCCTCCATAGGTCATGTGTGAGAAGACCTGATCCTCAGCTGGTGATGGGTTTGGGAAGGTCGTAGGAAACTTTAGGAGGTAGAGCTTGGATGGAGAAAGTAGATCACTGTGGGGCAGGCCTGGAGGTTTATGGCCTGGTCTCACTTCCTGTTCATTCTTCCTAACTACAGATGTCATGGGACCAGTTGCCTATTGCTCTTGTCACTGTGATTTTCCCAGCACGATGCCCTGGATCCCTTTGAACTGTGAGCCAAAACAAACCGTTTCTCATTACATGGCTTCTCGTCAGGTGTTTGATGACAGCAGCAAGAAAAATAACTAGTACAAATACATTCCCCAGATGTAGTGTCATCACCACTTTATAGATAAGAGAACTGAGGCTCGGAAAGTGACCCATCCAAAGTCACCCAGCTAGTAAATACAGGGCTGGGAATTATCCAAGATCTTAACCTCTACGTTAACATTCCCTCATTGTTCTAAAACTTTCAAAACAAAATGAAATATACACATCTTTAATGTTTTAGATATCTGTCCTGTAGAGAAAAATGCTTATTCAGAGGGTCTGCCATATATTCTTACATTTTAATCATAACTTGAAGAAAGAGAATTAAGGCAGAACAAGATCACTCATGCACATCTGAGAAAAGAGCAAGGTGGGGCCTGGAAGCCAGTCACAATGGTTGACAAAGAAGCAGTGCGTGAGACAGAGCTGGCTTATCCCAAAGTGTGGGAAACAGAGCCCTAGCCAAAGAACAAGCTCTCTATTCCAGCCTTTTATCTCTCTTTAACTAATTTATCCTAAAGTCAGAAAAGACCTGATAATATGGATACTGTGAATATTAATAAATATATGATTAGTACAAAGCATGCCTGGCAATTGGAAAATCAATCCTAAGTGGCTCAGTTTTGGTCCTTCCCAGCTCCAAAATAATGTATCGGGACCCAAAATTACTAAGTCTGAGTTGTGTTTATGAAATGAAGAGGTTAAAATGATTCAGCTAATGTCAAGTAACAATATGTGGCCCTAGTAGGGGGAAGTTAGCAGATGCTTGACTAATAAATAACAGTCATCATATGTAAACTCATTCAAGCCATGTAGAACTCCAGTGGAAATCAAGGGTCTGCTTCAAGTTCTCAACACTAAACTTATCCTCTGGTTAGGCATCCCCATGTTAAGGTTTGAGATGGGATGCAGAAGAAATGGGAGAGAAGGAAATCAAAGGTGGTTATGAATAAAGGAAAGGATGTAGTTCAGAATATTAGATGCAAAGATCTATAGCTATCAGGGGTGAAGGAGCTCAGCTCTCAAAGACAGACTTCTGATACAGAGATGGCCAGATGAGAGGTAGAGGAAAGGCTGGCATGGCCAGGTTCTATTGCCTACCTTATATTCCCAGGCAACATCCTTTATGGGCACAACAGTGTGGGCTTCGTGTTCTGGGGACTGGTGACAGGCCTTGCAGGTTACCACATCATCCTCTTTGCAGAACACCGTCAGCTGTTCCTTGTGGAGATTACACACATCAGTCTGTAGTCCCATTTCCATACAGAAGCCTAGCAGACGGACCTTATCTACAACACTGGCCAGCTGCCAATTGGGACGTAGTTTCCTTGGCTGTGCAGGAGCTCGACAAAGTGGACAGGTGTAGCCCAAGTCTTGGGATTCTCCTGAGAGCTTCCAGAGTCCAGAGAGACAGCTGTGGCAGAAAGTGTGGCCACAGTTGATGCTCACAGGCTCCCTGAGGAAGGTCATACAGATAGGACAGTTCATTTCTTCCACAATGGCTTCCATTAACGCTGCAGGATCCATGGTTCCATCTAACAACAGTCTCAGAACATGAATAAAGACTGCAAAGAACAAAAGAAAAATAAGAGAAATCAAGAGGAAAAAGTAGCAACAGTAAGTTCTCCCCCCACATCAAAATCAGTGATTGATAAGAATACACTTATTTTAGAACCTTCATTGGCCATGTATAATAGGCACTGGCGTCCACTGAAGCTATTATTGGGCAACATTGTCCACACCACAGAAGGCGCAAGTAGGGTAGGAATGGCTAAGAGAGTGGATTTGGAGAAATCTTTATTTGTTCAATTCTGATTCTCCTGAGTTTATTATACCCTACTGTTCCCATTCTAATCATGCTACGGAAATCAACATATTCTCTCTTGGACTAGGGCAAGTTAATACAAGATGTGATGTTCCAACATTCAGAAAAAGGCCACAAAATACTGTCAGCCTTCCCCTGTGATACCTTTGGTGTACAGTTATAGTCTTCAAGGTGCAAAACCACAAATGCCAGATGCTCATTGTCTAGCTGCTCAGTTTTTCTTACGTTGCACACTGATGTGTAAAGTGAAAGTGTAATAGCAGTTCTTTCACTGTGTCCTGTAAATCACTGTCTGCCTCTCCTGCATCACATTTCCATGGCTGACCAAGGTAACAAGACACTCTCCTCAGCACGTAGTGCTGCACGTGAGAAAGCAGAGGGGAGATCACATCCCTTGGAAGAGAAAGCAAGGATCACTTAAGGATATATTGATGTATATGGGTGATTATTGCCCAGGCCACATGTGTGAGCTTGAATGGCCAGTGGCAGGCTTCTTGGCATTCTTGGTAATATTTATTAACTTACCTTATAAGTTTGTGCTACTAGATAGGCTATGTAAGGGAAGAATCATATTGACTTTAAATACTGCTGCATCTTCAGGACCTAAATAGTGCCTACCAGGCAAATAACTGCTGAATACATGTCTGCCAAATGATTACATCAGGGTTAGGGAATAGTTCCTAAACCCTAAATGCGTTTATAGTTTATTAGGTAACTGAAAATAAAGCAAACTAATAGGAAACACTTTTTAAAAAATATATATATATTTATTTATTATGTATACAGTGTTCTGCCTGCATGTATCCCTACAGGCCAGAAGAAGGCACCAGATCTCATTACAGATGGTTGTGAGCTACCATGTGGTTGCTGGGAATTGAACTCAGGATCTCTGGAAGAGCAGTCAGTGCCCTTAACTACTGATCCACCTCTCCAGTTCCTAGGAAACACTCTTGAGTATCTAGTATGTGCCAGGCATGGCTCTGTGCACTTTACATGGATAATGTTGGTTTATTTCACAATCCATGACAGAAACCATTTTTCTCATTTTGCAGGTGCTTGTACCAGGTTTCTATTATTCTACTTTGAGAAAACCACCTATCTTCCCCAGCTTCAGGGTATAAGACAAATTCAAAGGCAGAGAGAATCACTGTGTTTAGTCATGCAGAAGGGCATTTTGGAGGCACCAGGACAGAAAGTCTGCAGGACTTGATGCAGCCATCAGCAGGTCATTCCTTCTCACCCCTTCCTTGCTTCCTGTTCTTCTGTTTCCACTGTCACCACCAAACCATGAGATCCAGACCCTAAGATCCAGTTCTGCAGATACCAAACTCAAAGGCCTACTGTGGTTCATCGAAAGCCCTCTATGAGCTCAACTGGAGGGATCCTGGACCCATGTCTGTTCATTTTACCCTATTTTGGGTCATGCTGTTCTAACTGGAACTGTTTCCATGACCCTACGGTTGACATCAATTACTGCAAGTTTGTTTGCCTTAATTCTCACACTAGAGATTGACTATGCATATTGTGTTTTTTTTTCACGATATTCCTAATGTCATGATAAATTTAAATTACAGAGATATCTTCTGTTTTGTTCACTGTATTCTCGATGCCAAGAGCAGGGCCTCAATATTTGTTAAATTCACGAGAATTAAATGTAAATGTTGAGATCCAGTTGATAGTAGAAGTGTTAATATCTTTATCTAAGGCAGTGTGTGTGTGTGTGTGTGTGTGTGTGCATGGCACACGCTGCTTTGATATCAAAAGCACAAAGAGCAACAGAAGAACCAAAAGTAGCAGTTGAAAATTTGGAAGATATTGGCTGTAGGAAAGTGAGGTAAAGAAACAGAAATGATAAACCAGGAAAAGTGGTGGCAGCATGCTATTTCTACACATGGCCTCAAAAAGACATAAACATGGGAAAGCCGTCAGAGATCTGGGGATAAATAGATGTCTTTCTCCAACAGAACCTTTGCTTTTATCACACATAAATTACTTGGTTCAAGTTTTAAAATTATTAACCGCTCAGGCATGTTCAACTTGCAGCCGAGGACACTATGGATACGGCCCAAAACAAAACTGTAAACTTAATTTTCTTTATGCGATTTTTACGGATAGTGTGGGTCTCCAGCATGAACTTGGTAGCTGGCAAGTCGTTTTACAATGTCAAAATGATGCACCCAAGGGTGCTTCCATAGTGCCTAGGGAGCAGAGGGAGGGGGCGGAGCCTGGCAATATCCGGGAAGTTGGGGCTGAGGGGCACCCGAGGGTCGGGGAAGGGCGGCGGACAGCGCCTTCCTGACCTTTGGGCGCTAAGCAGGTCCCCAGGGCAGTGGGCTGGGTTAAGGAGTGCAAGGACCTGTGTCTTCCAAAGATCCCCGGCTGCCGCCTCCTTCTCTCTGCGCAGGGTAGCCCGCCATGGAGATGCCGAGCTCCAGCGGCCTAGTCCGAAGCATCAGGTGCGGCAGGCAGGGCGCTCACCTGCCGGAAGCTGCGGAGCCCAGCGGGAGCGCGGCGGCCTAGGCAGGAGCAGCACCCGGCGGCTTCCGCGAGAACTCCAGGGCCCGCCCACAGCACCGGAATCGACGAACCATAGGCCCGGGCCTGGTCCACCCTACGTGTGCACCATGAGCGGCCTGATTGGCTGTTAACTTGTCACTTTCCCTTGTGGCATTCAGCAGCCTGGGAGCTGTGCCAGGTTTGAATGCGTCTCAACTTGAGTGTATGGTGGCACATTTACACGTTGGAATCCGCGTTTCTCTGGAAGATATGCAGCCGGCCATGGCTCCAGGTTTCAGACACTAACAAAATTATTAATAAACGCTTCTGGTTTCCCTGACTAACTCGACATTCCCATACTTCCCAGGTAGCTCCTCATTGCAACAAACTAGTTTCAGAGTTAGAAACAATATTGAATGACGAAGCAGAATAGTCCTGATCATAAGCAGTTGTTAAAAAATTCTTGAAAAATATTTGTTTTACATCCCTGCCACAAAACATGGCATATCAAGTTGCAGTAAGGCTAAGCACCTTCCCTTGTATTAAGACTAGGAAAGGTGACCCAGCATGAGGAGTAAGGTCCCAAAAGCCAGGAAAAGAGTCAGAGACAGCCCCTATTCCCACTGTTAGGAGTCCCACAAGAGGACCAAGCTACACAACTGTAACACACATACAGAGTGACTAGGTCAGTCCCATACAGGCTCCCTTGTTGTCGGTTCAGTCTCTGTGAACCCCTATGAGCCCAGGTTAGTTGATTCTGTGTTTTCTTGTGGTGTCCTTGACCCCTCTGGCTCCTACACTCCTTTCTCCTCATCCTCTGCAGGATTCCCTGAGCTTTGTCTAATGTTTGGCCGAGTCTGCATCTGTTTCCATTGCTGGATGAAGCCTCTCTGATGACAATTGGGCTAGGGACTAATCTATGGGTATAGCAGAATATCGTTAGGCATCATTGCATTGACATATTTTTCTTCCAGTTGTGTTTGGTTCTATCCTAGGTCTTTGGGCCATCCAGCCTGTGATGCTCCAGGCAGGGTCAGGAGTGGGCTTACTCTCCTGGCATGAGTTTAAGGCTAGACCAGTCATTGGCCACTCCCTCAATCTCAAGGCCACTCTTACTTCAGCACATCTTATAGGCAGGACAGACTATAGGTCGAAGGTTATGTGAATAGATTGGTTTCCCACTCCCTCCATTTGAAGTCTTGCCTGGCCACAATCCATTTTAAAAATGGGGTACAGATCTAAACAGAGATTTCTCAACAGAAGAATCTCAAATGGCCAAGAAACACTTAAGTAGATGTTCAACATCCTTAGCCATCAGAGAAATGCAAATCAAAATGACTCTGAGATTTCATTTTACATCTGTCAGAATGGCTAAGATGAAAAACACAAGTGACATCTCATGCTGGAGAGGATGTGGAGCAAGGGGAACACTCCTCCATTGCTGGTGGGAGTGCAAACTTGTATATTTCCAAAGTGCAAACTTTGGGAATCTGTGGCAGTTTCTGGGAATCAATCTACCATAAGACCCAGTTATACCACTCTTGGGCATATACCTAAATGATGCTTAATTATACCATAATGATATTTGCTCAACTATGTTCATAACAGCTTTTTTTGTAATAGCCAGAACCTGGAAACAGCTTAGATGTCCCTCAACTGAGGGATGGATAAAGATGGATAAATGGATAAAGAGAATGTGATACATTTACAAAAAATCCCCTCATCCATCCACACAGACACACAAGACAAAAACAACAATCAGTGGCCTGGGTTTTTCTTTGTATTCCTAGGGCCTTGTTCTTTTTCTGATATTTGGACTTTTACTGAGTAATCAAGAGAAGGTACTCATGGACTGCATGGGAAGTAATCAGAAAATCCCCCGATGAATTCAAGTTCCAGTGCTATATTTATTGTTAGGACCAATTCCCTTTGGATTCCATGCCAATGTCAGAACACTGGTCATGGTTGAAATTCTTCAGTGTGAGACCCAGAAAATTCCTGAAAATAATGGGATCATCTGCAAAGCAGGAGGAGAAGCGGGGATTGAGATCTGCACAGAACCTCTGCTTTTTTGTCGAGCAGTTGTTCTCAACCTTCCTAATACTGCAACCCTTTCATACAGTTCCTCATGTTGTGGTGACCTCCAACCATAAAATTACTTTGTTGCTACTTCATAACTGTAATTTTGCTACTGTTATGAATCATAAAGTGAATATCTTAAATGTAACCCCAAAGGGGTAGTGGCCCACAGGTTGAGAACCACTGTGGTAGAGTGCAATCACTGTCCTTATACTGCAGTTGAACAGATTAATTCAAATCAGACTTTTTTAAAAAAAGATTTATTTATTTATTGTGTATACAGTGTTCTGCCTGTAGGCCAGAAGAGGGTACCAGATCTCATTAAGGGTGGTTGTGAGCCACCATGTGGTTGCTGGGAATTGAACTCAGGACCTCTGGAAGAGCAACCAGTGCTCTTAACCACTGAGCCACCTCTCAAGTCCAAATCAGGCATTTAAAAAAAATATTAATTGAGCATGAGTGCAAAGAGTCCTGGATTGCAATTATGGGTCATATATTCTCTGCATTTAAGCCACTTAAGTTCAAGTGAATTTAAAGCAGTTAATGGGAACATCTTTTTCATGTATAACTTGAATATGTCTGTAACTATAATTGACTCTCAAAGGCCCTGATAGCAGGATGACATGGAGTTGCTGGGGGAAGAGGCTTGTGTTTATGAGAAGGGGCAGGCTGGACTTAAAGCTTCTGAAGATAAGACCAAATCGTCTCGTTGACTGATGAACTTGTACAGAATAAAATTGAACAAAGGGTTCTCTATATTGTTTACATTTGTATGGTTCTCTCAGTATGGGTCTGTTCATGGATATGAAAAGAACCAGATTTACAAAGGCTTTCCTATAAAACTTACACTTATATGATGTTTTAGGTAGGGTTCTCTAGAAGAATAGAATGAGAAGAATGTGTATGTTCACATGCACACACACACACACACACACACACACACACACACACACACTGAGAGAGGGGGGAGAGAGAGGGGGTTTATTTAAACTGGCTTGTGTGATAGGTGAGTAGATGCTGGGTATTAAAAAAACAGCCATCATTATCCTTTAGAGGCAAAGAGCTCCATGGCTACTTAATCCATGAAGTTGGATGTCTCAGCACTGAAGGCACAGGATTCTCCCCAATCCCTCCCAAGTCTCTGGTCCTTTATATTGAGACCATATTGGAGGACTGAAGAACTTGGAGTCTAATGTTGGTGGAGCATGGCAAAGATAATGACAAATGCACTCAGGAAGAAATGAAGGTGGGTTTTCCTTTAGCCTTTTTATATATGGGCCACCTGTTAGATGGTGCCACCCAATTTGAGGGTGGATGTTCATCGCTCAGCTAGTCTTCTCTAGAAGCATTCTCACAAACACAATCAGAGATGTATCTCTTAGGTCAGTCTAAATCCCATCAAGTTGATAATCAAGTCCAACCATCACATTTTATCCTTTTAAATTTGATATCTAACCACTTCTCATGTTACACTTACTTTCCAAATAAAGACAGAAGAGTTGGTAGAGTGCTTGTCCAGTGTGTATGAAGCCCCAGGTTTGAGTCCCAACCCCACATAAGTTGGGTATGGTGGTACACGAATGTAATCCTTGAAGTTGGGATGTTTAGTAAGAAGATCAAAAATTCAAGGTCATCCTGAGCTACATAGCCATTGATTCTGTCTCAAATAAAACAAACTGATATCTATGAGAACCTGTCTTAAAATAAACAAAAGGACACATGTCATAGCTTCACCTATGATGATATAACTATCCCATACAACTCAAAGCACACTACTTATTATCCAAGACTAGGTAGTGAATATTTCCTTGTGGAATATTTACAATTTAATACGATAATATAGATTCAGAACTTAAGTACTGATATCAACTCATTGCTATGTTGCATAATAAAAGAATAGGGGAGGAAGGAAAACATGGATGCCATATATATACACACATTATATATACATATATACATATATCATGTATATATGTACAAATATATCCTTAACAAAATAGGGCAAAAACAGTTATGTCAAGTACACTCCTCATTTCTGTAACTGGTCATGTGGCCATAGCTGGTATTACCTACCCATCTATCACCTATCTGTCTGTCTGTCTTTTTGTGAATGTGTGTGTGAGTGTAGGCACACATGTGCCATGACACACATATGTGGAAGGAGGACAACCTTGGGTATCCACCCCACCTTCTACCTTGTCTCTTGTCATTTGCTGCTGTGTGTGCCAGACTGGCTGGCCCATAAGCTTTCAGGGACTCCCCTGTCTCTGCCTGCCATCTTGCTGTAGGGGTGCTGGGGTTACAGATGCTGACCACCCCATCCAAGGTGATGTGGGTTCTGGGGATCTGAGTTCAAGTCCTCATGCTTGTATAAGGTTCTCTTTCCTGCCATCCATTTCTAAGCATTTGCACAAACTCCCCTTCTTTGGAATGGTCAAGTCCTTTGTGTCCTTTCTGCAAATCTGAACAATTCCTTAGATTATGTTTAAGTGTGATTTATACAACAATGACTTTCCTGTAGCAGTCTGTCATTTCTGTGAGTATCTGAATTTAATCTGCAGATGATCAAAGCCGTGGCAGGAACTGAGGACAACCACAGTGTTAAGTGTTGAACCTGAGGTGTTTGAGGGACTTATATGTCTAATAGATAATACCATGTCTTAAATGAAGGAAAAAAACCTGGCCTGTTTAGGCGATGAAAGCTATGGGGACAAGTAAAATTGTTCAGGTTAGCGCACAGGGGGAGGAGTCAGAAGGGATACTTGGCCACAGCTTTGAAGAAAACCATCAACACCATGAGAAATCAAGGACAGGCTGCCCCTTTACTAGTTCCATCCTGTTAGCATTTGTTTATGTCCAGTCTTTGCTTGCTCTGAAATTCATTATAAACAAATACCTCTGGGAGCTACCAATTCTTTGAGTGTTGTCTGTTCCACCCCTGTTCACACATAAGCATTTGAAGAGCTGTGCACAGCCG